CCTGCCCTATAGAAAATTAAGAGATTTCAACCCATCCTTAGGCAGGGTCAGTTTCATTCAAAAGGGGACCAAACTCAACCTCCACCATTAAAATCTGAAGCTAGCAGATATGACATACATGAGAAGGACCATTCTGTTTCTCTAGTCTAGTCCAGTTATAATGGATGGAAGGCAAAGGGGTTTTCTAAATTTACTTCCCCTGGAAATGTCAGGCCATAGTAAAGGTAGGAATAATCATGGCAGCCATTGATCACTTGAAGGAATTCTAAGACAAATTACTTTTTCACAACATTGGGTCATCCCAGCTGGGAGAGAACGCTGGCCGTTTTTCCAAAGAGACCCCTGACTGCCATTTGGCTATCATTGGACAAGAAATTCTGTCCTCGGGGATTGAGAAGTCTGACGGGGATTGGATTTAACTCTTCCTAACTCCTCATAGAAGACCTGACAGAAAACCGAAATCCTACACAAATTTCTTGCTTGGGCATAAGTTACCACAGATGCTGTCAAAAAAGTCCCTCAAGTTGCCAACAGCACAGATTCTCTTCCTCCTTTCACCATCACATTGATATGTACTCTTTTCATACATCATATACTTGGGACGGAGAAGTCCATTCGTACAATTTCTGGATTTGTTATGTAGACCAACCTTCTCCTACTTAATGCCATCCTAACAGAGCTTTTCCCTGGAGGTTTTGTGGATCACTTTCCCAACACTTTTGAGAGTTGCCAAGTTGGAAAAGCTGGCACAGGAATTTTAAGACCTACACTGTCATTACTTAGCATTAGTGATATCTAGCATCTTATCTATCATAGAATTTGAAAGGAAACTTATCCATTTGACTAATTATAGACCCAGCAGAATACCCAAGGGCTTCCTTAGAACAGAAGAGGGCAGAAACCATTCAACCAGCTACCAGCCCAGTGTAGATAGTAAACTTAGGCCTATTATGGGAAGGGGGAAAATACTTGGGTCCAGCTGTCACAGTAGCAAATATTTCAATCAAAAGTACAGTCCAACCACTTGTTTGTATGAAAGCTCATGGTAGGCTGAGCTGCAACTCTTAGAAGAATAGCTATGAAATCACTGCTGCCAAAGCCCAGGGAAGATGACAGATGGAGCACTTAGAGGTGACAATTTCTGGAAATAACAAATAATTGGATCAGATATCAAGACGTGGGACAAATGGATAGAGCTGAATTTTTCTTTCATGGTGTATAGTAACCGACAACTAATCAGACTTCAAACATGTATTGAAGAAATAAATGTTTGCATCCATCCTTGTAAGAAGAGGTTTTTGCCTTCTGCTTTCACAGTGAGGCCAAATATCCCAATTTTCTTGTCAATTCCCATATCCCTGCTAAAGCCAGATATTCATTAGCTTTCCAATGTAGTTTTGGAACCTAGTTGAATATTAGTGGTGAAGGGAGAGGAGCCGGGAAGCAAAACCCACCAGTGTCACTTGGATGTAATAGCCAATCCTGTCAGGAGGATTTCTTATTTCCATTCATCTGTGTTAGCTATGAGTATTGTGCATCATAGGTGTCCTTCTGGTTCTCCCATCAGTAGCACCCATTCTGGATGCTGGACACTTGTGGGCTTGCTGTTCCTGCTCCTAGGAAGCCAGCTTTTTTCCTCCATGCTTCTGATCAGTACTTGGCTTGGAAGTGCTTGCAGTCAGCCCCAGCAAGATCCTCAAGTCCTTTAGAGTCTTCTCTTGGAAGGGGAAATATATTCAGGACTGTCTTATATTGGCTAGTTAGATCAGGGTGGGCCAATATTTCTCGCTGGCTGCTATTTCAAGGATTAGTCCCACAATCAGAATGGGAGCTGTTCCTTCTTGTTGTTGCCTTGCCTTCCATTCATTGTTATGGGCAATGGGGGAACAACAACAACAACCTTGTTATGGCAGTGTCCATGGAAACATAACAACGAATTAAAGCAACAATTATAATTACAAAGAAATTAAAGGGCTTTAGTGGTCTGCCCAAGCCTGAATGCCAAAGCTGTTGAATCAATGGTCTCTGCAAGTGGTTGTGTGGGTTTGGTTTCTCTTCCTTTCCTGACAGGGTCCCTAGGTTTTTTCAGTGAGGCACTGCCAAAAATTAAATAGATACAGCTTCTCCCCAGGACAAATAACACATTAATGTAGTAGATCAAAACTTCACTGTTGAATTTCTGCTTACTAAGCAGCTGTTAGAGATGCTAGAAGTTCGGTTAGAAGAGAGAGGCAGGGGGAAAAAGGGATAACTTCTTTCCAGCCAGTCACTCAAGTAGGCTTTCAAATAGTAGCGGCCTCTGCCCTACAGAGACTTATCTGAATGTTGTAGATATGGGGAAATGGTAAAACATTTCATACAGATCACATTTACATTTCCAATATGTGTAATTTTATGAATCATCAACTGGCCTCTTGGAATTTTCATTGTAAAGGATATTTGGGATATCGTAGTGAAGAATCAGGTGTCCTTCCAGAGTTAAACAAAAAACAAAAAAAGCAAAGGGATCTTACTGATTTAGCCTGTCAGAAGGTGGAAATCCACAGGTGTGTTTATAGAAGCAACAAACATTTCAGGCTTTAAGTGCCTGCAAGATGTCTGGCAAACCATGTTTCAACTTGGGCACTGTTCCTGCAAATACACAACTCTGAACACCTTTGACTTGTGCAAGTAGCCCTGAACAAGTTGCCGGGCCTTCGTGCACAATTAAAATCAAAGGGCTTTGCATGTCAGGAAATGGGATTGTTCAATCGAGAACAAAGAGTAAAAATCTGTGCACACATCTGTATTTACATAGGAAAGGACTGTACAAGACACTTTAAATAATCAGGTTGAACCCTTTTGCTGCCCTGGGAAAGAAACCCACTGGGGACAGTAAGTTTTTAATTCTTAATTTTGCTTCATCCCACTATAGGATTCTGTTGTCATCTGACCTTTTGATTTTTAATAAAAGGGAAGTCATAGAGGGCAAGGGCACCAACATGCTTTTAGTCCTTGTAAGGGAAAAGAGAGAAGAGGTTCCAGAAATGAACATATTTTTTTAAAAAAGAAGAAGAAAGAAAGAAAGAAAAACGCCCTAATAGATAACAAGAGGTCTGCTTGTCCTAAGAGTTGTTTGCTTAAACTAAGTACTTTTTTAAAAAACTGGAAAGGCTTTAAACTGCCATATCAAAGAAAGGAGAAAAGAAATTATTATTCAAGTGCCTCTGAGAGCTTCCTAGGTCAGTGCTTCTCTGGGTGGCAGGCTACAGACAAGGGCAAGCATGGTGATCTATGAGCTTCTTGATGGCCCTGTTCCATGGAGGTGGTCATCATGGTGATCTTCCTTCCTTCCTTCCTTCCTTCCTTCCTTCCTTCCTTCCTTCCTTCCTTCCTTCCTTCCTTCCTTCCTTCCTTCCTTCCTTCCTTCC